ACACCACCTTACTCCTCTTTTAAGCTCCAATTTTAAAACAATGAACCATTCCAAGAGAGGTATTTCAACCTCCTGAGTGTGTTAGAGTATATTACCCCAACATATAAAAAACAAATATTTACACTGTCTTAAAGTACCATATAATTAAAAAATGCCTAGTAGCTCTCCGCGTGCAAAGTCAGCAGGAACTGATTATCCAGGAAGTTTACCATTTGTACAGAAAAATTTTGGGATCAAGCATTTGGAAGCAGAGTGCAAAAGAATCAGGAATTATTCAGGCCATTTCCTGTTTTCTTGTTTTTAAATATTTTGTTGGTCCAAGCTACAGATCCCTTTTTAAAAACACGCATTGGCAGGGTAATGTTCAGCTTAGTGCAAATCCAAAACACACTTAGGATCTGTAATCCTTTCTAACAGTGTGAGCCATCCAATTCACTTTAGTAGTCCAACTTTCCCGGAGTGCTTCATCAAATTTTTGTTTAAATTGCTTTAGTGCTTCTTCCTCACTCTTCCCTAAGGCAAGAGAGTCCTACAAAACAATAAGAAAACAAAAATAAGGCTTAAAGTATAAAAGCTGCTTATGTCCCCCTTGGCATTCTAAAGTAGTCTAAAATCATATTCTGATTTTTCAACTTGAGGAAACTGTAGGATGTTTTTGAAAAACTTTCTGTGCTCTCTCTAGCCAGTGTTTCCTTGTTTCCTGTTAAAACAGTAAGAGAATTGCTGAAGAACAGGTCCCTAGCTCACAGTTCAGTAACATCTTGAAGATGTCAACTCAGTGTTGGACAAAGGAGAAATGAATCAGCTGGGGAATCTAAAAATGACCACTGGCAAAAGCTGGTATGGGAAATGTACTTTTGCCTGAAGGCCGCAAACATGCTGCATGTTACAACATGCTAGTGTGTTTTATTTTCTAAAATATCCTAGTAGCCCCTAATATGAAGGCATGCTACCTACTGTTTAGATCAATGGTTCTCAACCTCTTTAGACCCAAGGCACCTCTCAGCAAATGCTGGCTTTTCGCTTTCATTCAGTTCTTTACTACAGAAAAATAATAAAGCAATCTTCAGTTGCAATGAATCCATAAAGACCACAACAGGTCAGAATGTTCTTGACAATGGATTTCTTTTTCAAACCACTGATTTAACTTGTAAATTACGAGCTAGTGTTTCCATACTTACCAATGCTAATAGTGAGTGGCACCCTTAAAAAGATCTTGCAGCACCCTGGTTTAGATGCTATTACCTTTTATTTTGACTCAAAAATTATGTTAATTTTTTCCCCCCCCTTACATCACTGGGCTCCCAGGTTGATTTATGATGTAAAATACATGCTGTTCTAAATACATTCAGCACCTCTGAGAATCAGTACATTAATGCACAGAAAAATCTCATTTCATTGTCTTGCATACTGCATGGAGGAGGGAAATGGGTATCTCCATTCTAGACAGCACTTGAGGAAATCTCAAAACATTTATATGGAGTGGAATCTCAGAGAAATGGACTTGGAAAAATAAGTTGCTTAGCTGTGGGATTGTAAGATCAAATCCAGAAGATGTACTAAGTCTCACTGAGCTGTAGCTTTTGTTCTTACCTTGAGATACTGGATATCCTTGACAGAGGTTAGTTCTGGAAGACCTGCAGTTAACATCAGTGCAAAGAGCGTGATAAAGAGGTTACCATGTCTTCGCAGAATCAAGTAGGCTTCTTCACAATACTGGCGGAACCTTAATATCCATCAAAAAAAATACATAGAATGAGTGTGGAGTATGAGAAAACACAATGAGAGCAATCTTTAGACAGAGTCTCCTATCCCAATGCAAATATTTTTAAATGAAAGTAAATTCATCATTCTACTGCTGTCTAATATAATACTTGTGAGTTTTAAGCCTTCAACTCTTCCAATCCTTTTTGCTTGCCAACACGAAGTGCATCAAGACAACATCAAATGGAACTGCAGGCTCACTGGCAACATACCTCCAATCACAGAAAGTTTTATAGCTCCACCTACTAGAAGGAAGTAACGAAGAGATTTGCCAAACAATGTCTACGCATCACTCTCCCCATTTCTTTGCCAGTTGACAATTTCCAGAGCAAAATGACACCAGAGACCAGAGGAAAGCAAGAAAAGTACTTCCCAGGAAGAGGCAGAAAGGAAGTAGAAAGAGAAGAAAGGACTGTGGTGCTTCACTGTTGGTTTTTTTCCCTTGCTTAGCTGGGAACCTAAAAGTTGTAAGCTGGCTTCAAGGTCTTAGGAACAAATGATGAATCCATGCTTCCCTTCTGTCCTTCATCATCTGCTATAAGCAGATTTCTTCCCTTCCTGTTCTACCCTAATTAATGTAGATGAGTTAGAGTTTGGAGTAATGAGAAAAAAAGGTAAGAAAGGAGTTATGGATGCTTGAATAGATGTGGTTCTTAAGATGCATAGCCAAATGGATTCTATTCCTAAAGAATGAGCATCCAATACAGGTATGCTTGGATTTGTTCTTGCTACAGGGCAGTAACTATTCAGATTGTACCTGCACCCTAATATCAGACCTCCTCCCACCAACAGAAAAGGGCAGAATGGGCCCAACAGCCAGAGAAAGACTATGCTTCACTAGCAGGGCACAAGGTTACTGTAAGGCATGAGACAATAGTCTCTTTTTCAGTTAATTCAAAGTCCCCTTGTACTCCACCCTGGGTGACTGACAAGCAATTGTCTGTTTCAGTAGAAATCAGCACTGTTACTCCTTCTTAAACAATGCTTACCAAAAGAGTATCTGATTGAAAAGCAGTAACCAGCAACAGCATTTTGTAAATGTGTCAGTTAAAATCCATGTTGCTACCGTAAGCAGCTGAGAGACAGGTAGCAAAGACTTCCTAAGGCCTGAAGAAACAGACCTGCATGTGTCTATATGGAACATACTTGATCAAGTTGTAAAGTCATTCTTATACACCTAGAGACTAGGGCTGTGCGAAGCTTCGGTCACCGATTCAATTCAGTGGAGATTCTGCCCGATTCAATGGCCGAATCTCCGAATTGAATCAGTAGACCCATTAATTTCTCCGAATAGAATCAGAAGCCTCCGATTTGATTGGGAGAGATTCCAGGATTCAGACGTAGACACAGCTTTATATGTTTTTTCTACATACCTCAAGGTACCAGGCAGCTTGTAAACACTAAGATGGTGGGGAGAATGGAGCATCCTATGGGAGCATGGGGGGGATGGAACAGCACTTCTGGTCCACTTCTGGGTCTGCTGCAGAGTGCACAGGGGACCCTCCTGGGTCTGGGGAGGGGGGAACCCAGGATCCCCCTGCAGCCAACCACTGAGCCAGCAGGGCACTCCCTCGTGCTCCTGTGGGATGCTCCATCCACCCTACCATCTCAGCGTTCACAAGCCATGTCTGGTACCTTGAAGTCTGTAAAAAACAAAACAAAACAAAAAAACATTTAAAAGTTGTGTCTATGGCTGAATCACTGATTCTCTGAATCAGAATCAAATCTTCAGATTTGGATTTGGCCAAGGCCAGCTGAAGAAGGGGTCTGGGAGGGGAAAAACCCACCCCCCTCTTGCCTGGCACCAGACCCCCAGATAGGAGAAGCCTGGCCGGAGAAAGGGGGGAGGGAGGGTGGGAAGGGGGAAGATCAAACCCAGGGCTTTCCTCCAGCTGCCAGGAGCTGGGAGTGGGGTTGGAATCCGTCAACCATGACCTCTCCTTTGTCTTTGGGTCGGCCGAGGGAGGGAGCAGGGGAAGCATGCACTGGGGCTTGGTTCTACCTCTTAGAGTTGGGAGCCAGGAGCAGGATTGGAGTCCCCCAACAGGCAGGGGAAACTTACATGGGACTTGGCTCCACCCCTGGAGCTGGGGGCTAGGAGCATGGCTGGAGTCTCCCAGCCACAACCCCCTCCTCAGTCTCCAGTCCAGCTGAGGGGGAAGAGCGGGGGAAACCTGTACCTGGCTTTGCTCCACCCCCTGGAGCCAGGAGTGGGGCTGGAGTCCCCCAGCCATGCCCCGCTCCTCAGTCTCCAGGCCAGAGACTGAGGAGTGGGGCATGGCTAGGGACTCCAGTCCCATTCCCAGCTCAGGAGGGCAGAGCAAAGACCTGGCGCAGGCTCCCTCTGACCAAACCCCATCTGGGCCAGACACTGAGGAGGGGGGCAGGGCTGGAGAACTCCAGCCATGCTCTTAGCTCCCGAGGTGGAGCCAAGACCTTCTTCCACCCCCACCCCAGGCTGCTCCTGGCGGGGGGGTCCAGTGCTGGGCCAGAGGGATGGGTTCCCCACCCCCACAACCCTCTTCTCAGCCAGCTAGAGGTGTGCTAGTGTTCTGGGTAGGGAACAAAGGGGCAGAGTAGATCCTGCTCTGCTGGAGCAGGCAGCACAGCCCAGGGCTGCAAATCATCCTACGATGCTGGGGGACCATGAGTTAACTTGAACTGGCAAGAGATTTGGGATAGAAGTTCCATAAACTGGTTTGACTTAAATCTGTTATGTCTGATTCTATATCCAATCAGGTTCATTTTAAACCAGTTTTAGCCATTTTGAAAGCGGCTTCAGTGCACTGAACTTCTGTTCTGTTACAGGTTTAAATCTGTTTCCGATCACTTAAACTGGTTTGTGTGCAACTTATCTCTAGCCCAAAGGCTTAGCTTCTGCTGTAGCAGCTCAAGTTCTGCTATTGGAGAGTGGGAGAACTGGTGTACTAGCTATGAAAAATGTGTACAATACCACAATAAAATGTCCTTAGGGGCCTGGCCCCACTCAAAATCAACAGCAAAATGAAAGTTTACTAACTGCTTAATAACTATACTGCTAAGTGCTAACACTAAAATGAGACTTGCAAAGAAGCACACTGATCTTTGCTGCCAGAGGTATTAAAAAGGATGCAAGGAATGAAAACTTGCTTTATGCTCTCAGAGGGGAATGTGAGACTATTAAAAGGACAGGCAAAGAAGCTGACACTGAAAGAACAGGGTGCAAGCACACAAAGAATGGAGCTCATGCAGAAAATCTCTGAACAAGGATAAAGGAATCTAAGAAGTACTCCATGCATCCAGGTCAGGATAGAGAAAGACCAATGGAAAGCAGGTGGTTAAGCTGGTGTTTACAAAGTAACTTTGAATGCCAGCTCTCGTGTCTTCAGGATCCTGGTAGGGAGAGCTATACTGCTGACACTAACTGTTGTTGCTGGATAGCATGGTAGAAAGAGGGGCATCTGATAAAGCTCAGTAGAAAAATCAGCCTGCTATCACCAAAACTGTGATGTGACAGCTAGAATCTGATGATTCTGGCATGGCAGGGGGTGGCAGAAAGGGTGATACTGTTGTTCACAAAACAACTGAAAAGTGTGATAAAAAAGGTGGGGCTTACTTTTACATTCAGGAAAGTAATTTACAGATACACAGAACACCAATTAAAACACTCCTGTACTTCCAAGCAAACCCTTTTTTCTTTTTTCATCATGTCAAGCTCTCATCATATCAAGTACATAATAGGGTTACAGATCTCTGTTTTGTGGCTGTGGCATCACCAATAAAAATGCAGACTTTTGAAACAGTATTTGGTATGCATATATAAATGCAGGACACAGCATTATATCTTAAAACTTATATTCAAATTAAATGAATTGAAATTAGTCTCCTTTAAATGGATAAAATGCTTTATTTTTACTAAGGTTTCTTATTTTCTCAGTCAGTCTAATCACATCTGTAGAGACGATCACTTCACGTTTTAATATACATGCAGGGAAAGTATGGTGGAAGTGAGAAGCAGTTTTACTCTTGATGTAAGGCAAAGAGATACAATACATCTTTATGCCAGGTATCTAAATAATACTTACCGACCAAATTTTTCAGTGTTTCCTGTTTTGCCTTGCTGAATAACATGAATGAAATCATAAGTGAGAATGAAAGGCACTCGTTCCCTTTTAATCCCAAATTTGGATTTAAAGTTTCCAAGAATATGCCCAAAATCTATGTGGAAGAGCTAGAAATAGAAATGAAAATTAATTTCTCCAGGAAAATATTTTACTTCTTTAATTTGTTTAAAAGTTATCTACCTAACCTATCAAGAGCAAGTTGCCTAAAATGCAATTCTCAGTAATTCCTATTCCCTGGCCTCTGCTCCACCTTTTCATGCTTATAAAGGATATACAATTCTTTATTTTCAGAGTGTTTCAAAATTAAAACTGAGAAATCAGTGCCAATAGCCAGACTGTTCTGCACATGTAAGGAGGCAATACTGTCTGTAAGTAAGCAGATTTCAGTTTCTGGCTATGGCAATGAAGAACATTATTTATCTTTTTCAGGGTTGTATACTCCTGGTCATCACCAACATCCATGTAAAGTCTGCAACAGCAAGTCAGTAGCAGATTTCACAAAATCTTGCACATCCTCTTTTTCAAAGTCAAACTTGTGGCTGGGCCAAGGTGTCCTTTTGGTTGGTTGGTAAGTAGGTAAAGGTTTAAGGGAAGAAGTGAATGTTGGGATGGTGTCAGAGAAAATGTTTCTATATATAAATAAAATGTTGATAATGCTGCTCTAAGAATAAGAAAGTAGGGCATAGATGGACAGACTTTTACTGAAAAAGGATAAAAACTACAATAAAAATCACAATTCAACATAGAAAAAGTTTCTCCCGACAGCATACTTGGGACATGGGTTCAAAGCAGTATACAGCACCATGCAGATACCCAAGCTAACTGTAAAGCAGCTAGTTTGGGTATTGGAAGCAGGACAACTGCGTTAGTATGTTGCTCTACCTGGGCTAATTCACCCTGCTCCTCAACGTAACTAAGGGGCCCAGACTGGCTCCCAGGCCAACACAGCTATACTGCTTTGGGCACTGGAACCTGCTTGGAATGAATTATTTCAGGCATCTCTTCCATGGCTCTACATTGTGCTCTATAGGGTTAAAACTAGGGGTGTACTGATAGAGATTTTTGCGGCTGATACCGATAGCCGATTTTTAAGGATGCATATCGGTTGATACAGATCTGATTTCCGATCCCAGCCTGGCAGTGTAGAGAGCTGAGCTCAGCTGGTAAGTCTGTTGTAGTGCAAGGGTAGAGGGGAGGAAAGGGGCACTGAGGGCACAGATCAAGGCCCCTGTGGTGAGAGAGGATGTGGGGCTGGGGCAAGCGCTGCCCATCCGGGTTGGGGTGGGCGTGGGAGGGCGGGTGTAGGTGCCACGCTGCGCACTGCTCGGCCGGGAGCTGCTGGTTCAGCAGCTTATGCAGCGCTTCCTGCTCATCCGGCGGCTCCTGCCACTGCTCCTGCTGCTTGTCCGGGATGTCGTAGGGGAGGGGGCGTGTGACCCCCAATCTGCGCTGGGTGGGCTGGGGCTGTGCCAAACTCTTCCCAGTGGGGTGGGGCTGTGCTGGGAAGGGGCTATGGTGAATTTGTGGCTGCAGTGCCCCCCCTTCCCCCGGGAGCCCTGCCCTACTGGGAAGAGCTTGGCACAGCCTCACCCCCAGCCCTCCCTGTGCAGATCCAGCAGCACACGCCCCACCACTCTGTGCCCTCCTGGACGAGTGGTGGCAGCACAGTGAGAGCTGCCGGATGAGCAGGCAAGCACTGGACGAGCCACTGCACCAGCAGCTCCACGCCAGTCGGCGGGAGCCACCCCCGCTCCCCACACCCCTTGACGGGCACCATCCCATGCCCGCCCCGGCAGCCCCTCCCCCACTATGGGAGC